TATCTAGCTAGTCTTTGGGTTTTAAGTGCAAGTTTTTGTTTTAGAATATCTAAAAATTCATTTGGTCTAATATTATTTTTATCATGAGTTGAATGAACCTTATATTTATCAAATATTAAATCAATTTTCTTTACTAATCTAGGATGTCTATTATTGTTGATGAATTGTGTTAATCTGGCCACATCAGCACGCAAGATAGATATATCTATTTCTAATCTGATTTGCCGAGCCGGTTTATTGTTAAATGAATTTCGTTTTTTTAAGGGGCCGTTTGAAATTTTGTATCCTAATCGTTTTGAGATAACTAAAGCTGAGCAATATATGAGGGTATGAATATGTAGTAACTCTGAATCAATACTATAGAATTTCGGTAATATATGACTATTGAAAATGTTTAGTAAACTATATAGCCTCTTATTTTCTTTTAATCGCGGTACTTTTGGTCTTATGCTAGGGTCAGTACCAGTATACAAAGCAAGATTAGTTTGCAGTTCGTCGGTTAACTTCTGTACGGTACCATCATCTGGGAGATTTATTTCAGCGGAATGTGAAACGCTAAAAATACTAGTTTGAGCTGTGCAGCTCCTTGCTACAGTTTGTGTTGCAGAATTGAATGTTAAGGTAGTTGATTGAGTTTCGAATAAAGAAGGGGGTGGAGATGTCTGACGAAGGCTAAAAATGTGATTTGAATTACCCGCTGTCAAATGATCGGTGTCTCTTGTATCTGAATGTGAGCCCGAAATATTATTCCCAGCTTCCTCGTTTTCAATTATTATAGCTACTTGTTGTTTTATACTTTTAATTTGTTCATCAGATAATAATTTATTTCTTATTATTACCCGTCTCTGGTCTGCAATACGTTGAGATGTGATATTTAAATGAGGATATTTTAATTTAAATTGGTCAAATAATTTCTTAACGTACATAGTGCGATCGGTTTCTAATTTGGTAATGTAAAAGTAAGTACGCATAATGAAAGTATTTATTTCTTCATCCCATTTCATGCGTACTCTAGGTTTGCCAGCTTTGGTGGTCACAGGTTGAGTGGCCCTTGCCGCCCGTGAAACATCCGAGGCCGGAGAGACTGCTCTACTATCGCACTTGTATTCATCAGACGATGTTAGTACTGATGATGCGCTGGACTCGCATTGTTCGGGAGACCCGGCAGAGGGCCGTCCAGGTAAACCCTCGCCACCGGTGGTTCGCATGCTGAAACGCCCAGCACCGGCTCCAGGCGTGCCCCGACGTTCACCCTCGGGAAGCGGTCCTTTACGAACACTTCTATTTCTCAACTCCATATTGATGGGTGCGCTAGAGCCCCGTTGGTCACCCGCAAAGTATCTTCGTTGCGGGTGTCCGCCACTCACGTAAGCGTAGGTGTTCAGCTCGGACGTGGGGTTAGACTTGTGAGTGACATATTATTATTATTATTATTATTATTTCTCTCTTTTTAAAAATGTTTCTTCCACACTAAGATTTTCTCCTGTATCGTGGAGGCAGTTTACATACATAAATTTCACAAGGATATGCAGACCCGGAACAATTACTTGTAGGCCATACAAATACTTGTTCCGTGCGTGATTCGATCCCGCGGCCCTCAGCGCTGCAACTCGTTGCTATGCAACTGCGCCACAGATCCGTCAACTTTAACTAGAAAACGTGTCACATACAAAATCAAAGCGAAAAAAACTGTCTGCATTGGCGTATTACATATTTACTTGTGGTCGCCTAGAGGTTGAATTGGACCGTAATTCATTAAATTTTAAGGTTTGTATATTACTCAAGCTGCATTTTACTTTCTACTGCACCTTAATATGTAAAACACAGATATCTAATTTGCAAAATATGAAATAAACGCTTCTTTTGCCTTGATATACACTCCACAAATGAAAATGAAACATTTATTGAAATCACACGAAATCCGTCAGTAACTGCTTGTTGGCAAAATTTATTATTCTTTGGCGACAATATCTACACTGCGCTTCTGTTTGACCATAGACTATTAAGTGTTTGACATTGGTCTCAGAGTAATAATAAACATATATTTCAAACATATATCAAACATATAACTGAGACACTGGCAGTATGAACGTCAACGAACGCCATTATTTTGTCCAAGCGACGGCAGTATGAACGTAAGCAATGTATGTTTTATTCACTTTAATGTATTTCTGCACTCCTTAATATAAACTTTAACAATGCCAAATTTCACACTCCTCTATGCTTAAAAAGGATTACTTAGCGTAGAATAGCGTAGAAAATATATGGCTGACAATTTTAGCTTCAATCTAATATTTTTTTTATAGTATAGGGTGACAAACGAGCACACAGTCCACCTGATGGTAAGTGGTTGTTGTGGCCCATAGACATCTACATTTATCCTCGTTTGCGAATCAAAATGCAGATGCGTTGCCACCCGTGAGGACTAAGATGGAATGCCTCGTTTCCAGTAAAAAGGGTCTCCGATTCTCTACACTCACCATACGAAACACAGCAGTGTTGGGCTGCTATTTGACGCTAGTATTCTGTGAGAGCGTGGTCGTTCCCCGGTCGAGCCGACCCATTCGTGCTACAAATATACTACTAATATAGCTGCAGCATGGCTCTACCACGTAAAATATAATCTTTACAACCCTAATAATAATGTTGCGAATGGTCGAGATCTGTATAGATATGATAAGAAATGAAAAGACGTAATAATAGTCAAATCAACTTCAACAGCAAACAAAATGCACGCGATAAGCACGTAGTGTACACGAGCTTGCTTATAAATACTTTAAGGCGTACACTTAATATCCAATACGTGAAATTTATTGTTATATATCTTTTTCCTTTTTTTACATAATGCTTATGTACAGTGATTTGTTCGTAGCACAACTAAGGAAGTTCTGTGTTTGAGATTCTGTGCTAATTGTGAAGTAACGAAAATTGAACTTTTTCTTCCATTTATTCTATTCTACAAATAATTATTAGCCTTCTATTTAGAACATCTGCTGGTTAGGTTTTTCAAGAGGGCGTCAACTGTCATATTCAAAACATTCCCTTTACTGGTTTTATTAAACTTACTTGTTTCCAGTTGATTAATCGTGTAGTGTCGCACTGAGTGTCTAAAGAAGCGACAGATGGAAACTTAAACAGGAGATGGGCAACAGCATGTGAGATGGATAACAGCTCAAAATTAAAATAAAAAACTTGGGTTGCCAACCCGCCTGCCAAGCATGGCGACTATGGTAAATCCGTGAAATGCTATGGGGGAAGCCTATTTTCAGTAGCGAACTTTTATAGGCTGTAATGGATGAAATGAAAACTTTCTAGTAAAACTATATCGTTATAACGAATATTAAATTCAGAGAATAATTTTTGCAATCGTAAATGAAATCAAATTTATGTCAACGTCCTATAACCGCCTTAGGTCTTGAGATATGAATAAATGTAATAGAAAATTAATGTTCATCTTATTCCCATTCGTATTGCAACTTCACAAACAGGACTTTCACATTGATCCTGCTACTACAAAAAATTTCACTCTTCACAATAGAATGTGTATAGCTGTGCTCGCAATAAAAGTCTACACTCTGTTGCAGGAATATTTTAATTTTACATCACGTGAGAATTATTGGCAATACAAAGTAGCGATCCTTACCTTTTAAACTTTCGCTTTCGTATGATGTTTACACAGAATTAGTTGCCATTTTTATCTCATCATTTATCACTCAGAATACACTACAAAAGTCATAACGTGTTATAATTTAAAAGTTCATAAAAGGTTTTAATATATTAAAAAAGAATACTAAAAGTCTATGCCTTGAACTCAAATAAAAAACGATCTGTTTGAAAGCACCACGCCGGTAAATCATTATGTTTTTAACCTGACTGCCTTGGTTTTAATTGACTGCGTGCATAGGTCTAGTAGTCGTTAACGTGACTGCTGATCCATGTTGTCCCGTGTTCGATATCCCGAGTCGGACCAAAATCAGTTATTGGATTTTTCGGTCAAGAAATTCTTAGTAGCAAGCAGCTCGAAGTCAGGAAGTTAATGGTGTTTCATCCCCGTGCCTCGGAAAGCACCTAAAGGCACCTAGGTGCTTTCTCTCACCTCTCTCCTATCGTTTTTTTTTTTTATAGAAAATGGGACAAACAAGCAAGCGGCTCACCGTATGGTAATTGACTACCGTCGCCCATCAACAATTCAACGCGACATCAGGGGAACTGTGTGTTTTTTTTCAACAATCGTGTCGAAGTGCACTACCATAGGACTATGACGGTGCACCTGTGTTACTTAAATGGGTTCCCATTTTAAGGTCCCTTTTCTACCGACTTCAAAAAGGAGGAGGTCCTCAATTCTACTGTATGTTTTTTTATGTGTGTTACCTTATAATTTTTTTCTGCGTGAAACGATTCCGATGATTCTTTTTTATTTGAAAGCCGGTGCTTCTCATGTGGTCCCATATACATTTGATCAAGGTCTAATTAATAGTTTTGAGTTCTTAATAATTTATAGTGAAGTCGGTTGTACAAAATATTTAATTTTAAATTATGTTATCTTCTACTGCTTATAAAAGAATATCTGTATGTTTATGAACCTCATTTGTCATTTTGTGTTGTGTTTTAATGCTGTGTGTTTGCCTAATGAATACCTTAGATTTGCTTTAGAAATTAATATGTGGTTCTTTTCAATAAAAAATGAACTTATAAAATATACACACGTATTTTTTTAACTTATTATAAATGTTACTTTTTTACTAATATATCTAAATAGCAAAACATAAAATGTAATCGTCGAAGAAAAATAACACCACGAATTATAATTAACCGTTTAGTTTATTAAACCGTTATAGCGAGAAAATGACGAAGGCTGTACATGATAATAATAAATGCTTATTTAGAAACAAAATACTAGAAACTAAATGCTTCGCCCGCCTATAGTTAAAACAAATTAACACCTTTTACGCTTTTAAGATTGCTCTAATATGCAGTGTTCCCATTTTCCTATTTCCCAGGAGGGTCGTCGCGGTCGACGTGTGGGGGGCTCCCTCTCCCTATCGGAGGACGACGTCGACTCCGAGGCAGAGATGTATGACCCCCTGAACAAACGCGGTGGGAACAGGTGAAACGCAATATTGCACGACCTGTGCAAGGCGCTATACGAGTACGTGCAGTGCGAGAGGGACAGCTGCGCGTAAGCCACGTCATCTTGACAGTTGAAGGCAAAATGTCGGATTTGTCGCATGTCATTTGAGTGAATGGACATTTTTGATTTGATATGCTGTATTGTAGTCGCCGCAACAGTACTATGTGATAGATTTGTTTGCGTACGAAGTTGTTGATGATTTTGTATGGACGTGATATTTTTTTCTCTTTATTTAGGGACTTTTGTTTGGAATGGATATGTCAGCCCGATCATAGCGATACTGACATACATTTAAAATATTCTTCTTGAGAAGAACTAGTATTATTGGGGTTTGATAACCATTTTTACATTACAAAAAATGTCTTACTTGAAGTTAAAAAAAATGTTATGCATATCATTTAATATAAAAGATAATGTTGGAATGGATTTTGTCACGAAGCGAGTATTCTTTGTTAATTATATAATTTAATGTGTTTAAAATTCATCACATGTCTTGCTGTTTTTATTCGAAGATAAAAACTATCTTGGTTTACAAAGTTAAAAGCTATCGGTTGAAAATTATATTTCTTCCAGTATAAATAGACCTATGTAGATATATTCAAGCTGTGTATTGTTGATTTAGTGTAAATAAAAATTAAAACGGTACGAAAGTAAAATATTCCAAAGTACGCTGTGATCTTTGCGGATATATTTAGTTAAAGCTGCTTCATTACATAGAAAGAAAGACGGAGGGTTACGTTCATTTCAAGTGACACAAAAACCAAGCCAAAACCGTGCTATATTTATTGGAAGAACACGCACTAACAACATGGCTTTAGGTGCTCCTAAAAAAAATAAAAAATAAAGATGTGTACGTGAGTGCGTGTCGTGTCGAAATGTACGCAGCGCTCCTTCTTTGTTTTTCGGTTTAAGGTTGTATATAAAGATTGTTGCCAAAAGATCTATATGGGTCATTAGGTATTTCCGTTTTGGTTTTAGTTCGAATAAATATATAATTGGGTGTTTGACACTAGTCAATTGTAATACTTTTTAAAGAGTTGTCAAAACAAACTTTCCTATAGAAATTATATGAGAATACAGTGTAATGAGGTCATTATTTTCTTAGATAAAGAATTAACTTATTTGGATAATTGAAAATAATAAAAATTTAATTTTACTCGAAATGGAAAATCGACCAAACTTGACATTACTAAAAGTAGCAAATTTAAATTATTTCATTATTTATATTAATGATGGTGTCAACTAGCCAATAGTTATAACCATCCTTAATATGTGACATTGTAATCGTGATATTTCAATGACACAATTTTAAAGTGTACGAATTACTGTGAAACTAAAATGTTGAAGTGGATTTGCCGAAGTGTGATGACGTCACGCGTCAATTGAAACTGCTAGCAGTACTGCAAGCTCAGTCAAGTTGATTTTCTACAGTCTTTAACGCTAAAAGAAAACCTTGGGGAAGGGAATGACGATGACTGTCATGTGATTTAACGTTGAAATAGTAATTCTCGTTAATTTTTAACCGACTTTAAAAAAGGAGGATTTTCAATTCGTCTGTATATATATTTTTATGTGTGTTCGAATATGATTTCTTTATTTATGAAGCAATTTTAATGATTCTTCTGTTGTTAAATAGTTTCAGAGATGTTCCTACATAAATTTTAAGAAAAAATACTTCTAAGGATGAAATTTAAGTTTTTTTTTAAATACATATAGTATTACACTAATGTTTTAACGGCTGTGGAAAATGGCTTGGCTAAACTGCTGAGCAAAGAAATGCGGGGGGGGGGGGGGGGGAGGGATGATAATCCTGCGCGCACCATTATAGTGTAATCAGTCTGTACTCTTTTTAAATATATTTTAACTTCTTGTCAGAAGCACAAATAATTTGCGATAAATCTTTTAAATCCTTGCAATAAATGCTATTATATTATTTATGGTTTGTTTTGACACATCCTAATGCTATTCTTATAAACGTACGTTAAAAAACGATTTAGTCTTTGGCTTTATTTTTTGACGTTTTATAATGTCACCATAATTTTTAAAAAAATGTGTTATAAATGGGTATTTTTATAAAATGTCTTTTATTTCATTTTCTTCTAAAATCAAAATAAGTACTTAATTTTCTGTTGCATCTATTTTCTAAGCCTTTGAGGAACGGAAAAAACTCTAAATTATACTCGTTCAACTAAGTTCAGATCGATATTTTATAAGTAATTTACGTATCGATACCCATAAATTTGTTAGGTAGAAACACCACTAGTGTCGTTCTTTAAAAGTAAATATTCGTTTGAGAGGTAATGTAAAAGTAACTAAAGGCTGGAGAACTCGAAGAACAACGGCACGTAAAGCGATCACGTGATTATTAATATTATTATAGGTCATATTAATGTCGTATTTACATAATTCTTCCATTGCATAGAGCTACTTTTGGCTTGAATTTTTATAGATATTTTACACGTCTATTTACAGTGTTGCAACTGTCTACACTTTTTACTTAATTATTGGTGTAAAAAGTTATAACTTTAAGTAGTTAGTTAATGTTGTGGATCTTCTATAACAAATTGTATAACCAGTTAATATAAAATTTGGTGGTCGCTAAGCGACTTTGCGCTTTTTTAGATATAAATAATGTTTTGCTTTAATTTGTCCAGGACATATTCCCAATGCTATTATTAATAAGCATTGAGACAATGATTGTTTAATTAAATAGTGCATGTGCGTTAGCGACAATGACTGATAAATATTTATAGTATAAGTTCGCCAAAAATGGCACAAAAATTGCGTATTAAGATACCAAATGTAGCTCAATTAGTTATGTATAGACTCCTCTGAATAAATGTAAAACAAATTTACTCCAAATTGTTTTATTTTACTACGGTCTAATCGTATGGCTTCCAATTTATGGCGCGGATCAGCTGATCCTTTGCGTCACAGACTCTTTTTAAATAACTGTACAAATTAACGACATTGGCAGTTTCTCCAAAATCACTTTTAACAGTGCGAACGTCCTCCACACACATTGTTTTCAAATTGAACCCAATTTCGTTACTATAACTAGTTTCACAACCGTCCCACTGTCTCGCGGAACAGATTACAATACTCTTTACTTCCTTCTCCCAGTGAGCTTTCATATGGTGCCTTATGTCGGGACAGTCGCACAAGTTGATCAGCACTTGAATCGATCTCAATTGCAACACAGGACTTTTCGCGTATTGACATAACCAAACAAGGGACTTCGTTAATTCGGGACAGATTTCCTTCGCCCTCCATTTAGATCGAGTTGTCAACGTAGTGTATTGCATAAGTCCGACTGCGCTTATTTTGACTTCGATTGACTCTGACATCAGGAAACGTTTTAAAATGAAGGTCACGTCATGAATGTCGGCCAGCTCCCTACCTACATCGTGACCGCATAACTGTGACATGCATTCCATTGCAGCGGAAAGTATTCGATGGTCCTTGTTATCAAATAATGCCAGCATAACTTGAAACGCGTTTGCTTTCAACGCAGGTACTGGGTCCCACTGGGTTAAATTTGTCAAAGTGTGCACAATAAGCAGGACTATTCCAAAATGGTCGTTCTTTATTATCATTAAGAGATTTTCTACAATTTGCTCCTCGGATATTATGACTTCGCAGCAACATAAATGTCGAGAGAGTGTTTTGAGCGTGTAAGCCGCGGCGTAACGAATCTCTTTACACTCTGTTATTATTAGTTCCATCAAGTTACTAATTATTTTGGGACGGGACATAATGTGTCTTCTGCCTTGGTGATAGTTGGCTAAATGAGACAGAATGATGCATACTTTCTCTTTTATGATTGGGTTGCGTTCCATCATCAAGTCGGTGAGACGGAAGACGACGTGCAGGTCGATGAGATGCATCGCATTTTCTGATATTTGTACCTGAAATAATTGCTGTATGTAAGGCTAGGTACCGTGTAGTGACGGTGTAAGAATATCCACTTCCCCATATCATCACGTGGGTGTCGTAAGAGGCGACAGAAAGAAACCGGAGATGGGCAGCAGCGTCTTCCTAATAACGACTATAATTAAAAAACTGTGGTTGGCAACCTGCTTGCCGGGCGTGGCAACTATGGTATATATCCCCCCATGAGGCAATCTATAGGGGAGATCTATGTTCAGCTGTGGACTTTAAAGACTAGGTTTAGATGATCACATGGTTTTACTTGACACCCCTCGACTGCACAGTCAGCGACAGAATAATGACCGCGACAGAGAGCGATCATCGTATGACACCAACAGCCTTTTTAGACGAAGGTGGTACTCTTTTTCTGAAGAAAGAATCCGTCTGGGTGTGTACCACTCTCTATTTATGTCGTCAAACAGCTGTGCATTTATTAATGTGTTCCGATATGAAGGGTATAGAGAATCTAATGAGGGCTAATAATTTTATGCTCACCAGATGTCGCTAGTTGTCACTGAGTTAAAGTTTTTTTGTTACAGTGTAATTTAATTGAGAAGTTGTTTTTTAATAAAAGTTTATCAGTTTCTAGAGTATTATATTAATACACAAAACAATGCGTCAGTGGTTTGCTCTTTAATTTTTTCCACTTTTTTTTAACTTCTTTTTACTTTTCCACTTTTATGAATATCTGTGGTTTGGTTTATTTATTTTTTTCAAGCCTTTTTTATTCGAAGTCGGCTGCAGGTGTCCATGGACTGCTGTATCCACTTACCATCAGGTGGACTGTAGGACAGGTGTTCGTTTGGGAATTCAAAAGTACTATAGTAGAGAGAATATTTTCCGCAATCACTACGTCTGGCAGTTCAGCAGACTGACGATTGTAGTACCGGACGTTTCGCGCCATTGACGGTGTTATCCACTATGTCCGTGTTTTCCGGCGTTGGCTTGAGTATTTTATATCTAAAATTTATATCTGAATAAAATATAAGATGGATGTACCGTCATCTATCCAAGACCACTATTGCGGTCACTTACTGTATAAAATAGCACAATTTACGAAAACACCTCAAAGTGAACAAAGCAGTTACAAATCGACGCTCAATGTTCCTTTTATATTCATTCATTCATTACACACTATCAAAAGTTCACCTTTGAACATAGCCTCCCCCATCAATTGCTTTATAGGGGGAATTGACAACAGCACGTGTTTATTATTTCGAGTTGTCGGGAAGCTACACTGCTTCCTTTCCTTCTTACGCCGCCGCTACACTGCGATTATCTTATAATACAAAACTATAACAAGAATCAGTTTTAGCCATTTTAATACCTGGTCAAGTACGCTATGCAGAGCTTGCAGCTGAATAAGTTGGTCGGGCGAATGGAGATCTCTCACAATTTGTCTCAAGCCTATGCGACCGAAACCCAAACGTGCACGAGAAATGTCTACGTGCGGTGCGTACAATGAAGGCTGCATGGACTCTAGCCGTTGAGCTGCTGGTAATTCTGGTAAAAAGTTAACAATATTTGGTAAGTACGGAAAGAGTGTAAGGTACATACATTGGAAAAACTACACTCATAGAAAGCTTAAGGCGGCGAATATGTTCGTGGAATATCAAACTTACTTTTACGCAGTGCACTTTGTTCACTGATTAACAAGATTGTAATGACTGTAAAGTAAAGTAACACGTACGTCGACTGTTCGTTCGTTTGTCTCTTCATTTTATAAAAAATAAAATAAAAGCGAAAGCGTTTTTCAAAAATGTTTAATAGAATTTTAATACGTGCTAGAATTAAATAACCATAGAATTAAATTAAATAAACTTAAAAATTGCTAGAATTAAATAAACCATAATATAACTGCAATATGGTACTAATAATCGAATGTACACCCACTCGAACATATGGGTGCACTTTTATTCTAGTAGCATTCGAATGCTCCGACGGTAAACATGCCTCAGTGCTCGTTTAAAAAGTGTAATAATTTAAAATTAAAAATTTTGTACAGCCGACTTCAATATAAGTTATTTAAGAATAACTTAAAAACTATTGGTCTGACCTTGATCAAATTCATATGGGACCACACGAGAAGTACCAGCTTTCAAATAAAAAAAGAATCATCGAAATCGGTTCACCCAGAAAAAAGTTCTGAGGTAACACACATAAAAAAAAACGAAAAAAAAAAACATACAGTCGAATTGAGTACCGGCTCCTTTTTGGAAGTCGGCAGAAAATTGCAGTTATATTATGGTTTTGGCGAATGAGTCGGCTCAATACCAGCGTAAAATAGCAGCTTAATGTTGCTGTGTTTCGTACAGTGACTGTAGAGACTCTTTACTGTCAACAAGACTTAGTCCTCAGTCCTCAGATCAGAAGATCTTAGTCCTCAGGGGTGACGACGCATCTGCATTTTGATCCTTAGTCGAGCATAGATGTAGATGTCTATGGGTCACTATCATCAGGTGGACTGTGTGCTCATTTTTCACCCTTATTCTATAAAAAAAATTGAATTTTTAAAAAAAATGTATGGCAGCTATGACATTCTTAAAAAAATAGCAATAGTAGGTATAAAATCCTGCTGATGAATCGTCATTTGTTCACACAAATATGTGGGTTGACTGTTCGCGGACCTTGATCAACGATGCTGAGATTTAAAAAAAAACAGGACAAATGTTAATAGGACTTGCATTCTGAGGTTTCCGAATAAACTTTATTATGTATAATTAATAGAATCAGGCGTTACTTTGCGGAAATCCATTATATAAAAGATTTTAGAAAAATTTACTTCGCAAATATCCGCGTTATAAAATAAAATGATGTGTCTTACCTAGTATGAAGAGCACCTCCCGCCCTCCCTCAATTGCGTGTACTATCCCCGTCACCACTAATCCCAGCACCGCTACAACCAACACCACTACACTAGGCAAGACACACCACTGACGATAATACGACACGTGTTTCGCCTCTACACGAGGCATCCTCAGGTGATATAGACTCTACGGTGGCTAACCGCTAAGTGCAACTTAGCGGTTAGTTATTATGTATGTAGATAGTTCATCTATCTCGGGAGTGGAAAAAAATGTTCTCCCGTACATTTCTAAGTCTACATTATTTTCGTTGCTTCAGCTGGATGTGCAAGTTTGTAATCGCAAAAAAATATTTTTATTTATTATAATTACGTTATATTAACAATTTTCAGATTTTTCCTTACTTGTTCTGTGTGATCTTGTTCCTTGTTAAATCTCATGATTCTAGGTTAATGGCAAGTAGCCTCTTAAGATTTCAGTATCAAAATATAAATGGTCGTATATTTAAAATACCTTTAAGGGATCTGAACCTAGTAGGCATTTGATATTAGTTTCTGCATATTTTCCTATGGTGTGTGTGAAGACCCGTAGACACTTTAAACTGATGACGAGGCATTCTATCTCAGCCCTCGGAGGTGACAACGCAAGGCTTAGTAATGGAGTAAGTAGTTGAAGATGTTTGAATTCTGTAGCATTAGGGGGACTGTGTACACCTTTGATTTTTACTTGAATTTAAAAACATCTATTACATTTAATTCTGTGAGAAATTTAAATTATAAATTTTAGATATCAAGTAGAAAAACTTGAGGACAAGTTGTGAAAAAAGTGTGAAAATATTTTACTGTCTACACTAAACCCAAACGTATGAAGTAGACATGGAACGAGTAGTGACTCACCGAGAACTCGGCGTAGATTGGGCCGAGACCCCCGAGGAGTATTCAGCTGAGTACTCGTACTCAGCTGAATACTCGGCTTTAAATAAAATGCGGTAGCGGGCGGCATGCGGTTTACATACTAGACCCAAATAGGGCCGAAAAACTAGTGTTTTTGCATCACAATCTTCCTCTTTTAAAATTTTAAATATTAGTAATAATAATGGTAGAGCCACGCGGCAGCTTTTGCTGTCGCACGGATGGGCCGGCTCGAACCGGGGTGGTACCATGACCTCACAGAATACCAGCGTGAAGTAGAAGTTTACCTCTGCGTTTCGCTTGGTGAGTGCAGGTGGCCGGAGGCCCTTTTTACTGGAAATGAGGCATTCCATCTTAGTCCTCACGGGTGAAAACGCATCTGCATTTTGATTCGCAAACGAGGATAGTTGTAGATGTCTATGGGCCGCAGCAACCACTTACCATCAGGTGGACTGTGTGCTCGTTTGTCACCCTTATCCTATAAAAAATAAAAAATTTCTATTATAGATTCTTATGTACGTTCTAAATATTTCTGCTTCTCATGTTCCTGAAGATTTAATGTGTCTAATATAATAATAATGATAAAAACTGGCTTTTTGTCTTTATTTTTCTCTGGAATATAATTAAGGCCGAGTGAGTACTCGGTACTCGGCCGTTAGTACTCGGTGCTCGGCCGAACCCTAAAAAAAGGCCGAATCCGCCGAGTACCGAATCCAAACCGAGTACTCGTCCCATGTCTAGTATGAAATACAAGTACCTGTGTGAGGATCAAACTGCTTCACTTGCATCGCTTGATCGACAGCCTTGTTGATTACACGAGGGTTCACCGCACAGACCAACTGTAGATACGAGTTCTTATGTGGACTAAACATGATTTTTCTCAAAGTGAGTGTTTGTAAAGTATATATTTATAGAAAAACTATTGTAAAGTTTCCTGTCGTCTAAAATGACATTGTTTGACATTAAATTGACAATTGGTAAGTTGTCGACATTGTGTCAGTCCTTTATTTTAAAATCAAACACAGACTACATTTTGTACTTTGTACCTTTGTACTAGTTTAAGTGAGTCATGTAAAGGTAAGTTTGCACCGAAACGCGACGCGACACTACGAAGTGTGCACTTTATAAGATAGTGATAAAAATATAATTTAATTTATTACATAAGATACACATTTTATGTTGTAGACGCAGCGTGCAACAGATGCGCTGCGCTTTGCTAAGCCGCGTACAGCAGTGCGACCATAGATAATATACTAAGTGCGACGCCGCGAGGCGCAGCCTGAAGCCGTCGTGGCGGCTTGTCTAGTCTGTATTATATTCGCGATACGTCGCGCGGTGCGCTGAGGGTGCGAAACCAATAGCTTCTTTAAGCATCATCGCGTCGCGTTGCGACTCTGTGTGAACTGACTCTAAACGATGCCCATCCAGCAGGACGACGCAGGGGTCATATAAAGATTTAATTACCCGTGTGTGATTAACTTTTAGAGACTCCAGTGCAATCAGAATATTTTAATATTTTAGTTAAACAAAATCACTATAAAGTATATAGGCTGGTCAATGCCTTGTCCATGATTTTGTTCATGGTATGCAATTAAATCTTTAATAAATAAGAGTCTACTTCTTATGCTATACTCCTTTATTATTTTTCATCATCATAATCATCATTACATCCGTTCACAAGTCTACTGCTGAACATAGGCCTCCCCCAAGGAATGCCTCAAATCACGATCCCAAGCCACTCGTATCTATCAACTTCCTGCATATCTTACCAGTTCGTCTTTCCATGTAATGGGGGGCTTTTATTATTGTTACTGATTATATAACCAGTTATAGCAATTACGGCCATTGAACCTTTGTAATCTAAAGACACTCCATGGTCCATGCCGAACTGCGCTCAAAACTGTTGAAGCACCTTTAGACGTGCATATGATGTAAGTATGCATCGAATTACCAGTGTTTTAATGCGTGCGCAGAACTGGAAGTCCTTTTTACACAAAGAAATGAAAGCACCGCTTAAAGTGCGTTCATATGCGCAGTTTGGAACGTCACTCCACGGAGCCCTCTCCGAAACCTACATGTGAATGCCGCTTATAAGTATCTGAAATCGTCAGCAAATATGACAGACACGTTATAGTGTTGTGTTAGTAAGTTGGTAATATAGCTTTTAAAAAAGGTAAAGTTGTATTTTACATAATACGTCTCCCTTGTGAAGTTTTGATTTTTTAGGTGCCCACGAAGTTGTACTCGATTGCTCGCTTTGAAGACAGGCGTTCAGCCTCTGAGTTACTCGAGCTTACAGGTTAATGAAGATTTACGATCCCGTAAAAGTCCACTGCTGGACATGGGCCTCCCGTATAAGGTTTTAGCAGGAGGATCGCTGCCCGTCACCAGTCTGGGTATTATTACGCCTGGCGTCAAAAAGATGACTATACCAACTAGTCATGTCTATGCCAGCTACTGCTAGATTTCTCTGGAATTTTCCATAATCTCCATTTAAACCACCTTTGGACGTAATGGATTAATGGATTTTCTTAAGCCTTTACCACAAGGTCAAGGTGATAGATATTTACCATAATAAAATTATTATAAAACATATTATTTTAAATGTTTATTAAATAACAAAATCATTAAAAATAAACGACACAACAGTTTCTATTTTCTCGGATACGGTGGTCGGAAGCCTTTTCTTCTGCATTTGGTATCCACGATCAGCTGCGCTTGTCTCTTTAGGTAGCAGCGAGATGGTATATCTTCCTCTTCATCTGATACTGGAATTGAAATATTTTAAGGTGATTAATATTATGTTAGTGAAGTGGTAGGAAGCCTTTCCCCGTAGCGATACTTGCTAGGCCGTTGTCGCGAGAAATAAATAGATATAGGTACATTTTTGTACGCTGGGAACAAACGCAAGCTATCACTCACTCGACTCCATATCGTCAGTAATTACTTCATGGGGTAAATAGATATGCGATGTTTTTCCAACAAAGTCCCAAAAATATAATTTAAGATCTTTTCCCAAGTTATTATTTTTATTTAATAAAAACTATATGAAAGGTGTTCTTATAAAAATATCAATCAAAAATATATTAATTAACATTAAAAACCCCTGGAAACAAGGTCATCGCTTCCAGATGTTTTTATTTAATTAATTTTATGACCCAATTTATTGTTAAATAATGCTTTGAAAAAGATCCCATTGTGTATTTTGTTGGTTCTTCTCAAGGTTTTTCCGAACGAGTGATTATATTAAAAAAGACATAATTGTTGTTTTTATTAGCATTATTAAATTTATCATCAACGTTAATTTTTTTTCTCCAGTATTGTTGGTTTATGTTGAGAGAAGAGAGGAAATTATGTTGAGTATAAATTATTATTTTTCTATTCCATTCACCTTGTTCAGTCCCGGCATTAGGGAACGGCGACACTGGCGGTCGTTAGGGAACGTCACTGTCAAGAAGGAGGCACGAATTAACCTGATGTCATAGCCAACCCAGGCGGGATATAGTCAAGCACTGGTTTACTAAGTAAAGGTCGGATGGCTAGTCTCGAGCCCTGTCCTTACCAAAGCACTTTTATCTAGCGAGTACCTTAATTACTGATTAGCTCTCTTTTTTTCACAATGGGATGCCAGTATTCAGTAACAAGGTGTAACTTTGTAGCAATATTCTAAGTCATCGTACATACCGGGAGCTTTAACAGGTTCCTTGTGTACTAATTCTTTGTAAGTAGGTATAGCCTTCTCGGATTCCTTTGGAGTGCTGTGGCTGTACATGCTCATTCCGGCGACAGATGGCGCTGCGCTTGTCGTCTGCAAAATGATTTATGTCTTGCTAATTAATTAATATTTATGGCCCTCGAAATTGGTCGTATGTGTTCTGAATTAATTGACGCAGTTAGAGCTAACAATGTAGGTAGATACGTAATTGTTTTTAATTTCTTCAACTTGTAAAATAGTTTTATAAACATAGATAATATTATTTAATTTATTTTCTTAACCCACATGTTATCGGTTTGTAAGGAGAAAATAGTTTCATCCGTGTTAATTGCGACTTCGGCAGCGAACAACTTTAATTTAATAATTTAACTTTATAATATATTTTCGAGACATGGTACAAAATAATAGTTGTTGTATTAAGTATAACATTCATGATAATAACGTGACTTACCGCCATCGGCGTATAAGTAGCAAGGAATTATTATTTTTTTCTTTAAATCATTACATTGCAAAATAACTTTCGATAATTATCGCAAGTTATTCATTGCGGAGAAAATAGAGTAGTGACACAGAGATCCTCACTCCTATGTTATATTCTCGTATCCAGGTCTGAGGCACGTAGGTATACATATTTAATTCCTATACTTATTTTGTAAACTCATGTAACCCAAATTAAAAAAGCAAGGACGACAAACAAGGACACAGTTCACCCACTGGTAAGCAGATGCTGTGGCACATACTCGTAGATACCAACATCTATCTAAGAGTCAAAATGCATATGCCTTTTCACTTCTAACTAGAACTAAGATGCAATAACGCTCTACTAGAAAGAGGATCTCCGGCTCTCATCACTCATCACACGTCAGCATTAGGCTACTATTTCACGCTAGTGTTCAATGCGAACGTGGTTCTTCCCCGGTCGTCCGTAATGTTCCAGCATGGCTATACAACGTATTAAGATTAGAGTAGCTTGCAATTCCAGAGATTTAACAACAGTAAGGCATTTCATCTTAGTCTTCAGAAATTGTTTACAAGTTCTTGGGCTGCTGTAGTGATTGCAAAGAACATAATGTGGGCACGTGATTGCATTTTTTTTTCACAGTCGTTGAATTTGTTTGCGACAAAATGTCAAGACTTTTCGATGGAAATCAGGCTTTTTGTAAGGACTTTCAAAGTTTCGATCTCGTAATCCAAAGCCGGGCGGCAGTTACCCATGCCACTGGCTTGTTAGCTCGCTCGTCACGCTTATGTTTCGAAAATATATAACAATCGTCCAAATCTCACATTAGACTGAACTATAACGATGTTGGCGTCGTTCTTCTTGTCCCTGATGACGTCGGCTCGAGCACGCGCCCTCTCAAAGCGGGCCGTCAGCACGCTCACAATCTCTTGAATGTCCCGCGCCTCCGCTGTCCATTCGGGAATAAGCAGTTCGGGTACCAGGTGCTGAAAGTAATTCATTAAGTTGCTAAATTACTATAAGTACTTAATGGCCCATAACTGTGCTCATTGCTCACTGACCACTTAGGGCAGTTCTTAAGATGGATATAGACTGGAAAGAATAATATAATATAGAAAATAATAATATGATGGAGAAAATATATTACAAATAATATAATAGAGAAGATCGAATGTTCATTTCAATACCATATCAATACTTTTATACCTAGCACGACTTGCCCGATTAAGTAACTTCAACCACAGAATAAATAATATGCATCAACTTCGAAAGGATCAACCGACGAATCCGACTAGATTGGGCAGCGTTCGAGTTAAAATAGCCACTTCACGATTGTTATTCGCGGTTACAGTATCCGTAGATAAAATAATGCGACAATTTCTTTGTTTGCAGATCCAAAACTAACAACACATATTGTAGTTTTAAACGGTTCAGTGCGGATGGCACGCCAGGCGCGCCATCGAATATTTTTGTGTGTGGCGTATGACACGCGAGTCGTGTCTTTTTTTTAAATCGTTATAACTCATAATGATTTCTTATATTTACGCGAACACTACACATTTTTAAATAAAACTAATTTTACGGATTTTATCACGTATATTAACTTATTTTTATATTCCCGACATTTCGGGTGCTTTCCAGCACCCGTGGTCACGGGGGACTGAGTTGTTTGACGTCCTGCTGTCATAGTTAGCCCG